AGTTCCCTGCAGGTACTCTGAGAGCACTCTGGAAGGGGAGAAGGTCCTTCCACACTAGTAAGAGGGCTTAGGGCAGACTTAAGGGATAGACTCAGATGTGGAAGCCTCAACTGCTCTGTCAGATAATTTTGAACTCTTAAAGTCAGCCTCAGGGAGAAACAAAACTGAGGGGAGAACAAGCCTCAGACCTCTAGGAAGAGTGAGAAGAGGGAGACTGCTGGCCAGGGCCCTCAGAGGGCATTCATGTTTGGTTTGAAAGGGGATCCCCTAACTTCCTTGGAGTTCATTAGCTCTAGAAGCACCTGGGGACCCCTGAACTGCACAATGTAGTATGCTCCATGTCTCTGCAGCTGCCCCTGGGCGAGAGGGCACAGGGAGTCCCTCTCTGCTAGTTGTGAGGGCCTAGTGGGGTGCTTCTTTCTGGCTCAATCCAAAGGAGAAGCTCTGGGGCACATCTGGGAAGTTGGCTGTCATGTGGGACCCCGTGTGGTGGAAGGGTACAGTGAAGCTGCTAGTTCAGGCTGAGCCCTGATGACAGCTCAGGAGAGGAATCACAGGCTCCCAGGCTGCAGATCATTTGCACACTGGCAATTAAGCACTCACGAAGTGTTAGAATGCCAAGCCGGGGGAGCGGAAGCACTGGCCACAGTGCAGCGCCCACACATTCAGGCACAGCACAGATGGCCCTGATCCATTTAAAAATCACTACTGGAAACTGGAAATCAATCCTGAAAGCTGGGGCAGACTCTGCCCCACATACCTGGTCCGTGGGTGTGTAGTCCACCAGACTGACACTGTCGATTCTTTCCAGGAAGCTGCAAAGAAAGCCAGCAGGATTGAGCTGTGTTCTCTGCCCACTTTCTCCAGGGGCCAGAGAACACATCGGTGGGATGCTGACACAGTACAGCAAGGAGAGGCAGCAGGTTGACAAGCTGAGGTCAGTTTCCATTTCTTTCCTGAGTCTACCTCTGTCTAGAAAACACAACCCCTGACCCCGGGACAGAGGACTGCATTTCTGCATTTGTTCTTTCTTCCTGCTGCCGCCTCCCTCCTCTCTCCTCTCCATCTCCATGGGACAGGATGGGGGCTGCTCAGAAATGAAGAAGGGCTTGGCCTCCATTCCAGGATGAGCACCAGGAGGGTAAGTAAGAAAGGGAAGTGGTCCATGATCCTGGAGCACAAGCTCCCATCAGACCCAGAGTTGTGTGAGTGTGAAGATGAGTATGTGTGTGGGTACACCTGTCTGAGCCACTGACCATGATGTGACCTTGCAGACTGAAGGGAGGGAGGGAGAAGCCAGCAGAAGGGCGGGTGCCACATCGGGCTGCAAAGTGCCACTGCCATCACAGCATCACCTACATCCCAAGCTCGCCCAGTCCAGGCCCTGGTGCCCCCCTCCAGACTCTCCCACCCTGTCTCTGTGCCCACCTGGCTCTATAGTCCCACTTGGTGCCCCCCCGCAGGCCCCTGTCCACCTTGTCCCTGTGCCCACCTGGTTCTTTAGTCCCATCTGGTGTCCCCTGAAGGCCCCTCCTCTGTCTCGTCTCTGTGCCCACCTGGTACATTCTGCATTCATGGTGATATGCTATTATTTGTCTCTTCCATTAAAATGCAAGACTCACGGGGCAGGTTTCTGTCCTGCTGGCTGGGTATCCCCAGCACCTAGCACAGGGCCTGGTGCCAGTACACACAAGTAGAATGAACCCATGTCCTTGGTTCCTCTCTTTCCTACTTCAGACAGGGAGAGGACGAGCCTAAAGGACATACAGGGATCAGGAAAAGGCTAGGGATGGGCTAACTGGTGACCAAAGGATACTTCTGGTGAAAGGGGAGCAGCAGAGCCTTCTGGAAAGAAGGAGAGAGCCGGGAGGGAGGGGGTCTGAATGGCCATGCTCTCTGGCTGGGGATGTCTGGGTGGCACCTATGGACTGGGCTGACAAGGCTCTAGCAGTGAGGACAGACTGGGGCCACTCCCACCTCCCTGTCTGCCAAGTGGGTGGGCAGGTCCCACTGCTGGGCACTTGTACTCAGGCAGCCTGTGCTCACGAGTGTTTTACATGGTGGAGGGGGTATCCCCAACTCCACTTGCTCTTGCACCAGCCCCACAAAGGCTCTTGAGATGCTCAGCACGGACAAGAGAGAGGTGATGGGCCAGAGCACGTCACCCAGAAACTTGCCTCTGCACACTGGCAACTCTCGGCTGAAGGTACTTGACTATCAGCAGGTGCAGGGCTGGCTGAGAGATCCCTCTGGATCACAGCGGGCCCCAGGCTTCCCGTGAGAGAGGTGCCCGCCCATGCTCATCCCTAGAGACTGGGAGCAAATGCCCAAATGGTCTGGACAAACCCACTAAAATAAATCCTTTGTGAATTTTTCCACGTATTTACTAGTCACTGTCCCACAGTTTACTGCTGCTAGGAACTTAAACCCTTTCCCTTTGGCATTTCTCCATAATTTATGGTTCTTTTGTTACAAAGGTATGCAAACTCTCCATCTGTACCACCTCCCGGGTCTTTATTTCTCTTATAAAGGTTTCTCTGCTCATGTGAAGAGAAGCCTGAGCAAGGTCCTTCTTCTAAGTAGCTGGGACTACAAGCGCCCATCACGATGCCCGGCTAGTTGTTTTTAGAAACATGGCAGGCACTTGTAGTCCCAGCTACTTAGAAGGAGGATCACATGAGCCTAGGAGTTTAAGGTTGCTGTGAGCTATGACTGTCACTGCACTCTACCTGAAGTGACAGAGTGAGACTTTGTTTCAAACAAAAAAAGACATTAACTAAACTGTGTGTACATTTCCTACGGGTGACCTGTCTCTCAAGGTTCTCCTCAAAGGGCCCAGCCACAGAACCTAGGTAGGCAGTAGGAAGTGCTTTTTCCTACAGAGGCAAAGGAAGCATTTTAAAACAGTTATATACCAGTGGGGGAGATCGGGGGCATTTGTTTTCACCCCATCAGTATGTGACTATTTAATGAACCATTTGGCCAAAGGCATAGTGAGACCACTGGATTCTTTTTTTTTGAGACAGACTCAAGCTGTCTCCATGGGTAGAGTGCCATGGCATCACAGCTCACAGCAACCTCAAACTCTTGGGCTTAAGCAATTCTCTTGCCTCAGCCTCCCAAGTAGCCGGGACTACAGGCGCCTGCCACAATGCCTGGCTGTTTTTTGGTTGTGGTTGTCATTGTTGTTTGGCAGGCCCGGGCTGGATTTGAACCCGCCAGCTCCTGTGTATGTGGCTGGCGTCTTAGCCGCTTGAGCTACCAGTGCCGAGCCAGAGACCACTGGACTCTTTTGGCCATCTTAACTTCTTCCTTTTCAAAAGCTAAAGACAGCGCTAGCTGGTAGCCTGAGATGAGGGCCTGGCCTTGGGGTTACATTTTGACAGCCTCCATCCCTGTACCCTTGGTTTGGCATGAGAGGTGTCCCCAGGGCAGGTAAGCCACAAGTAGAATACACAAAGGACAGCAGTGGGTCTGCTCATTTAGAAATGGCCTTTTAGAGGGACCGGAAGTGGTGGGGCAGCCATGGCCATTTCAACTGCAGGCCAAGGGAAGGCGGGCCACAGTGGTGTCTGTGACTGCCTGCCTGCCTATCGGAGGAGGGCCGAAGACACTGACATGTTCATTCCACCTGTACTTACTAGAGCCAGGCCCTGTGCTAGGTGCTGGGGACACCTGGATCAACAGGATGGAGAGCTGTCCCATGGGCCTTGGATTTTAGTGGAAGAGACAAATAATAACAGTCAAAGAATCATTGTAAAACACCCCGGGCTGTGACAGGGCCTTGTAGGGCCATAAAGCCAGGTGGTACAGAGATTGGGGGTGGGGGGGCTCTGCGAAGGGATCCCCAGGCCGTGGAGCTGGAAAAGCTGGGGAAGTGGCACTGTAGTGGGCACTGCTCATGCACAGGCAGGCCAAGTGCAGTCCTCTGGGGGTCAGATGCTCCTGGAGAGAGACCGCAAGATAGACACGACCCAGTCAACTGGGTCACCAAAAAGCAAAAGGGACTCTGATTGGCCAGTGGCCCAGATGGAAATGGCCCTGCAAGGCCTGGGACTTGCTTACACACCTGAAGGCAGGGGAGTTGGCCAAGAGCGTGGAGCTGGGTCCTCAGGGGGACAAGCAATGCAGGGAGTGCCTAACCTTGCCTGAGTGTGGGTGGAAACTGCAATGCCCTCATGGTTCAGTGGTCTGGAATGTGGTAGGGTGGACAGCACCACAGAAGGGCACCCTGGGTTCCCAGTCATCTGGCAGGAGAGGAGCAAAAAGACCTGGAATCTGTGACAAGGTCCAAGGAGTTTCTGCGTGGTTGGAAGGGAGATTCAGCTGCTTGCCCTACATGCCCCATGTGCTGCAATGCTTCGGTTCAGAAATGGTCTGTCTTTTTGACAGGGGACACTGAGCATCAGACACAGAGAATAACCAGCTCTGTGAGAAAAGCTGGAAGGGGCAGAAAACCAAATGCCAGGACTCCACACAGGGGTCCTCAAACTTTTTAAACAGGGAGCCAGTTCACTGTCCCTCAGACCGTTGGAGGGCCGGACTGTGGGCCCTGGGAGGAGTTGGCTGCTAAGCAGGACAGGCAGCGGGCAGCAAAACACCTGGCAGGCCGGATAAATGTCCTAGGCAGGCTGCATGTGGCCCTCGGGCCTTAGTTTGAGGATGCCTGGAAGTAACCAATGGAGTAGAGAGAGGCAGCTGAATTTATTCAGATGGTAATGACTAGCTGGAGAAGAAAGAATGAAAGGTGTTAACAAAAAAATACACCTGAAGTTCTTTAATTAAAGAGTACCTTCCCAAGGAAGTGGTGGATGTACCTTCTCCAACTCTATTAAAGATAGGTGATTCTGAGATGTGGACGACACGGCACAGCTGGCTAACCTCGGAGAGGGACATTCAGCACTCCTTCCACCTCTGATGTTTAGCCACCCAAGGGAGACCTAGGAGGCCTCACTCAACATTTTCAAGAGCATCTTCTGGATTATTACTGATGCTGATGGTATTCTGAGTTCATGGATTTGAAATTTGTACAATGAAAATAAAATGCAAAAATTCACCCCCAGAGTGTGAATGTGCTACCAATTTTTTAGAAGACTCTAAGGAATGAGGATGCAGTGGCAGATTTTTGGCAGCCTCTGCCTTGATCTTTGAGGCAATGGTGGATCTCAAAGTACATCACAGTTGTACTTCAAACTGAGGCTCCGAAGAGTAGATGAATTTTAAAAGGATCTTCCAACTCACACACAGAATGTTGCACACAAATATGTTTTAAAGGGTTAGAACACTGTTTCCTTAAATTTGCCACTGTATGCTAAGTAGAAAAATCTAAGAATCCTTCTTGCAGACTATTCACTAGAACACTAGATACACAGTTGCAAAATTATACCAAATTGCAATTACAAAATCGTCACTCACATTATGGACACTATAAAAAAGTGTTTACAAAGCAATTTCCTTTAATTTTTTTCATGATTTCCTGCCATAGCTGAGGATATGCACATTTGCAGAAGTGTTTTTATTGTCATCATTTAGATCTCCCTTCTGTTTGAGATTGGCAAAAAGATAATTCATTCTTTATAACCCATCCTAAAATAGCTAAAATATTGATAACTCAAAAGTCACAGAATTCTTATGACCTTGGAGTTTGATCACAAAGTAGGGACAAGGAGAATCACGAAAAGATGAAAACTATTCTGTTAAATGACTTTACAATTAAACTACCAGATCTGAGAAAAAGTACTAACTCAATTTTTTTTTTTGGAGACAGAGTCTCATTATGTCACCCTCAGTAGAGTGATGTGGCATCACAGCTCACACAACCTCCAACTCCTGGGCTTAAGCGATTCTCTTGCCTCAGCCTCCCAAGTAGCCAGGACTACATGCACCTGCCACAACACCTGGCCCTTTTTTGGCTGCAGCTGTCATTGTTGTTTGGCAGGCCTGGGCTGGATTTGAACCTGCCAGCTCTGATGTATGTGGCTGGCGCCTTAGCCGCTTGAGCCACAGGTGCTGAGCCGAGTACTAACCCAATTTAATAAATGTATTTGAAACTACTAAAAGAGTAAAAAATATAGCAAGTTGGAACTCTGTCAAGGCAAGTAAAAAACTTCACTTAGTCAGTTACTTAAACTTGATTCATGACAATGATCTATAAGATATAGAAATATTGGTGGAGGCTTGGCACCTATGGCTCAACCGGCTAAGGCGCCAGCCACGTACACCTAAGGTGGCGGGTTCGAATCCCCAGCCCGGACCCGCCAAACAACAATGACGGCTGCAACCAAAAAATAGCCGGGCGTTGTGGCGGGCGCCTGTGGTCCCAGCTACTTGGGAGGCGGAGGCAGGAGACTCCCTTGAGCCCAGGAGTTGGAGGTTGCTGTGAGCTGTAATGCCACGGCACTCTACCCAGGGCGACAGCTTGTGGTTCTGTCTCAAAAAAAAAAGAAAAAAAGAAATATTGGTGGAGAACAATTCCTCATTTGGTGATCAGGTACCAGGCAGGTGTAACATGCAGCCAGGTTACAATCTGTGCTCCTTAAAAAGGGGTCCCCACAGTGGGGCACAGTGGCTTACACCTGTAATCCTAGCACTCTGGGAGGCCAAGGTGGGAGGATTCTGTAAGCTCAGGAGTTGGTGACCAGCCTGAGCAAGAGTGAGACTCTGTCTCTACTAAAAACAGAAAAACTAGCCAGTTCCACTGGATGCAGTGGTGCATGCCTAAAGTCCCAGCTACTTGGAGGCTGACACAGGAGGATCGCTTGAGTGGGCTGTAGTGTGCTATTCTGATTGGGTGTCTGCACTAAGTTCAGCATCAATATGGTGACCTCCCAGGAGCAGGGGCCACCAGGTTGCCTAAGGAGAGGTGAACTGGTTCAGCTCGGAAACGGAGCAGGTCAAAACTCTTGTGTTGATCAGTAGTGGGATTGCGCCTGTGAATAGCCACTGCACTCCAGCCTGGGCAACATAGCAAGACCACATCTCTAAAAAAACAAACAGAAAAACAGCCAAAAAAACTAGCTAGTGCCATAGCACATGCCTGTAGTCCCAGCTACCTGGAAGGCTGAGGTGGGAGGTTCTCTTGAGCCCAGGAATTTGAGGTTGCTGTGACTGTAATCATGCCACCACACTTTCTATTTAGGATGACAGAGGAAGACCCTGTCTCAGAGAAAGAAAAAAAAAGGGTCCTCAGACCAGCAGCATATTAGAACTGTCTGCAGACCCACCTCATCAGAGTTTGCAGCTGAGGCGACCAGCTGGGAGTGTCCTCAGTGTGTTCCTCTTGGCTTCTCTGCCTCCTGGCTCTACGCACTTATCTATTTCCCTGGACAGTCACCTCTGATGACTGCTGCACCTGCTCCTTTCCTTAGGGTAAAATCCACGCTTTAATCTGGCTGTGAGTCCTTTGCGATCTTTCCAATCTCGCCATCACTCTTTTATGTCACAGAAACCTTCCACTCCAGCAAACCTCCCTGTGGTGTTTGGCCTCTCAGACCCTGTGTCACTTCTGCCTTTTTTTTTTTTAAATTGGCAATTAAGCCCTGTTAGCTCTAAGAAGCCAATTCTAATTGTCATGGACACAGCAATCCCTCTTCCTGGTACTGACTGTTTTATGATTTGATTAGTATGGAAAGTTTAGGTATAAAGTGACAGAACGAGCACTGATGTGAAGTGTTCATCTTCATGACTAAAAGCACCTGTATATACCTTGTCCATTTTTCTTTTTCTGTGTATGTTCTGTCTCCATGATTATATAATTTAAGAGAAGAGCATGTTTTTTATCACTAGAAAAGAATTCCCAGATAGCCAGCGCCTGAGATACATTGGTCTAAACTTTTTACTGTATTGAGCTATCTGAATAAACACTGCTGAACTATTGTTGAGACTTATTTGGGGGAAGAGAGAATGCATAAGCCCTGAAGAGAGAGCAGAGGCAAACATTTCATTCTGGACAAACACTATGAGGTAACAGGTGCAGTGCCTCTGGGGGTGTCACACCTGGGGCTCTGGCTGGGTGCGGATTCTAGCAGTTGATTTTTAAAAAAATCATCCTAGGGTCCGGCTCATCTGTTTGTTTAATGTTCACCGACTTGTAGCTTTTTGCTAATACTACTGAAGGCCTTGAGCTTTGGGTTTTAGCTACAAAAATCCCCTCCAAGAAAGTGTGTGTATGGCTGAAGAAGGCCCCTCCCTTCTGCTTTTCAGTGTGAATGTCTGGCTGACTCTGACACTGTACTGGGTTAATAAGGGTATCAGGCTGGTGCTTATTTCAGGTGGTCTTTCCAAAACAAAGACAGCAGGGTGCACACACAGTGCTTAAGCCTCAGGCAGGCCTGGAGTAGAGGCACTGCAGCCTTAGTGTGAAAGTTTTCCCAAAGCACATGTTTTATCATCTGGGTTCCTGAACTTAAACTGACAACTGAAACTAAGGGCAGGAGAGGGAAGTATCAATCCACTCTACTTTTTCTCCTTTCAATTCTAAACCCATGTTAGAAATTATGCATCTGAAGGCAGAAAATTTTAACAAATAGAAGTAAACTATGTAGTTGTGTGGAAGACTATTTCCCTGGTATGTCTGAGGTGGATCTTTTTGTAAATTGTTTATCTTTGGACTAGGAAGTTTCAACTGGAAGACAAATCTTGCTGCCACAAAGAAGCAGTTACAGTAAAGAAGTAACAGGGCTCCTAGAAAGGTGCAAGACAAAGCCATACTAACCAAGGACAGTTTAAGCGGTAAGACTGAGGGTGAATTTGGAAAAATACCAGGCTTTCTGAACCAAATCTACCTCTGAATTCCTCTTTAAAAAGTCTTTTAAAGTAGGATGCACATTCATGCAATAATATGCAGTTTAAAATGATTTGACAAATTTCTGTGATTTACATCAGCATTTGCATTTCATCAAGTGCAAAACTGATGAAATTATTCATGGGCCTTTAGTGCTTTTGAAAATACTTATAACTCATAAAAATGTACATTCATATAGTACACAATGAATGTATTTTAAGAAAGTTCAAGCAAATACAAGCATTGTTTAATTTCACAAAATATATTAATTTTGTTGGGAATATTTGCACTGTTAAAGGGTCTTCAGTTTGCCAAAGGACTCAACATGAAGCCATTTCTTAGTTGTAATTATTTTTTTTCAAGTCTAAAGAGGGGTTTGACTACATTATATTCACGGATGGCTGCCTCTGTGAGATCATGTGGGTGAGAAGAGAATGACATTCTAGAAAGACGCTTTTGAGAGAAGATGTGGGGCAACCAACAACTGTCCCTTAAAGCAGACTTTGTGTGTAACACACAAATAGTAAAAAAAAGTTAAGCATGAGGGTTAGTCCTCAACTTCATACACCTGCTTTTTTTTTTTTAAACACTCATTCACACTGGAAAACATACAATGGCAAATTCTTGGTGATGAAACTTTCAAAGAACTTAGAAGATCCCTATAATTATTTTCTGAAACACTGGAATTCTTTTATAGAAATCTTCCAGTGAAGGAAAGAGGGAATTAATAAAAACAACAAACTTAATTTAGTTTTATATACTTGCCAATGCAAAGTAAGTTGCAGTTTTTCAGGCTACACAGATGTGGTGACTACATGCCTTACTTTTTAGCCAGGTAACACTGTCCTCCTGAGAAAACTTGGGGTACAGCTGGGCTCCCATTTTAACAAGAGTCAGGCCTGTCTCTTTCCTTCCAATCCTACTTTTTTCCTTCTTCCCAGATTTCCAGCTGACTGGCTGGATATTTAAATTATTTGCATGGCTAAGTAAAACATTCCAAATTATATTTTCAAGGGTTTTAAAGAGATGACACTTTCAGACAAGTTAACAAATGCAAATAACTAAAACTTAAAATGCAGTTCTATTTCTATTTTTGGTTGTAAAAAACAAAGCCTACACGCACAGTCCCAAGGGTTTCCCCAAACTAATCAACAGTTCTTTGGCAACGTTAGAGTAACATGACTGCTGTGCTAATTAACACACTTTAGAAGTAGTCTAATTAAAGTGTTGAAATAGGAAAATAACTAGAAATGTGTTAGATAAGTTGTATGAAAGACACTGTCAAATGTTACACCTTTTAAGTCTTCAGCAATTTCTTTTAGTAAGTGGAAAATATAAATGAACAAAATTATTTTTCTAATATATAAAATTAGTGGCATTTACCCCCCTCTAGTTACACAAAGACAATTATCGCATGAAAAATTTACAGAAGGAAAGCAGAGAGTACTATGCAAAAATGTCTTAGGGTAATTTTAATATGAGATCAGATTTTGTATAAGTTATGAGAACAGTCAAATGAGGTCTTACTTTGATAGCAAAAACCAAAAAAACACCCAAAGGATATAATGAAATAGTACTGCCCACTGAATAAGTTGAATAAAGTGTTTATAGTCGTGTAACAAAACTAAGTAATTATTCCCGTCTTCAACTTTTACGCACCACCTGTCATTCTAAACATTATCAATCACAATAAATTAAAATCCCCCACCACCTTCAATTCGATAATTCTGGGCAGAAAAATGAATACACTGGAATTGGAGTTTTGACCAAATTTTTGATAAAGATTCATACACAGCAAATTAACTAGTTCTGTTAAAAGGCAGCTATAAAAATACACATCATCACAAGCTCTACAGAACTTTAAAGTCCAGTTAAGAGTGAAGAAAGGCTGAGATTTCCTAATGTATCTGGAGAGGGTTTAATCCCGACAGGTAGAAGAGCAGGCATGTCACCATTCTGCCATGTTCAGTTTCAAGAGGATACAGTAGTTCTCTAATATACAGAGCGTTTCCAAGGGTAGATACGTCTAGGAAACCTCAGAGTGGGTACTGCCATCACACTTGATCCCGAAGGCGGGCCAGTCTCTGGGACAGTTCGTCCTGTTCGGCCGAAGCCACGCTTGTGCCCACGGAGCCGGTCTGCCCCTGCGGCAGCTCCATGTTGAGGTCGAGGCCCGCCTCGTCTGCCATTTCCTGGAGCAGCATATCCACTTGGTTCTGGGGAGTGGTCAGCGTCGTAGTGCTGCTCATCGTGTCTTCCATCTGCTGCGTCTGGACGTCCAGCGTCTCAAACTGGTGCTCGAATTTGTCCATCAAAGCAGAAATCTTCTCCAGGTTCATGGTCTTCAATGTCGCATCCATCGACTTAACCACACCAGCCATCGACTTAGTCACCTTGCCCATCGTCACTGCCGTCTGGACTCGAGCAGCCACGGCATCGACTCGCGCACTCATTCTCAAGAAATTCACTGCCTGGTTCTTCTGGCGGATGGCATTTTCGGCGTGTATTCTCGCAACTTCCATGTTGCCCTTCTGGATGGCCTTTTTAATTTTGGCCTTTTCAGCCTTTTCCTCCTTATCACATTTTTTGGCACTTCTGCCCAGTTCTTTGGCCGCGAACTTTAGGTTGAACAGGTGTTTCTCCATGTTGGACATACTTAGCGGCTCCCTGTGGTGGGCGGTCAGGGTCCGGACGCGCGCTGAAAGGAGACGACAAGAGGTAGGTCCGCTCCCGGCGGTCGCTCCTTTGTTTTGATCCCACTTCCTGTTTCTGCAAGCGCGCGGCGCAGGCGGTGACGTCAGAGCCGGGCGCCGGGGCGGGGCCTGCGGACAGGCCCACAGGGCTGGGCCCGCCCCAGAGGAGCTGGCTTTCTGCCCGCACTCCAGTTTTCAAAGTGGTCAGCGCAGTAGCAGATCCATGGAAATGAGAGCCCACGCACACTTTCGCAGGAATAATCTAGTCCAGGCGGTGGACTTTATGAGGGCGCGGCCTCGTGCCGATCCCGACCCCGCGAGGCCTGAGGACGGCGCGGTCTGCAGGTGCAGCTCGGCCTTCCCAGGAGGGACCACGGACAGCTAGTGTCTCAGACATCACAGCAGCGCCGGAGGCTGACCTGCGGACTCTTTGGCAGTGTTCGCATTGTTCTGTGAGTCCTTGTGCAGGCGAGAACGCCTCGTCTGGCTCTGCTGAGTTGCCGGCAATTACCCTTTGAAAATCTTATTAGGCTTATTAGGCTTAGTAATAAAAAGACGCAACTTGGGTACCACCATTCCAGCTTTTGTATGTTCTATAAATAGGGGGAGAACATTAAAGTTGACAGGCTCAGCCGTTGCGTTAAATTGAGCAGGCAGAACACAACCAGGCGGTGGGACGCGCGCCCACTGACACCTTCAAGCTGTCACTGCGGATCACGCCCTGTAGAAATGCACTGCTGCAGCTTTTTTCTTCAGAAAGATTCCTCTGATCCAGCAATAACAAAACACAAGATTCAGTCTGTCCTGATGAGTTAGGTTGACACGAACCTTGAGAGCTAATTGTTTAAACATGGTTTGGCCCAGAGTCTCCTGCCTCACAAGTCTCTCACCACCGGTCTCTGTGGGGTGCCACAGCATCTTCTGAAGACACAGCCCTGTCTTTTTCCCATCCTTGGGCTGGAGGCGAAACTCCCCTACACAGTACTCCCTTCTCTTTAGTTACCCTCTGCCAATCAAACCAGACTGTTCCATGTAAGCTGGGCATTAATTTTGTCATTTCCAGTGCAGAGAATGAAGCGATGCACCTCCTTTTGTGTACACTGTTCTTTTCTGGATTTGCAGTCTCTGCATCGCTGCCTGTTGAGATCCTGCCTATCCTTTTTTTTTTTTTTTTTTTTTCGAGACAGAGCCTCAAGCTGTCCCCCTGGGTAGAGTGCCGTGGCATTACAGCTCACAGCAACCTCCAAATCCTGGGCTCAAGCGAGTCTCCTGCCTCTGCCTCCCAAGTAGCTGGGACCACAGGCGCCCGCCACAACGCCCGGCTATTTTTTGGCTGCAGCCATCATTGTCGTTTGGCGGGTCCGGGCTGGGGATTCGAACCCGCCACCTTAGGTGTACGTGGCTGGCGCCTTAGCCGGTTTGAGCTATAGGCGCCGAGCCAGATCCTGCCTATCCTTAAAAGGCGCCTTGGCATGAAGGCTTGTCAGGAGCCCCTCCGCTGTGCTGAGGGCACTGCCTGGCATGGGGTCTGTGTATACAATTCTAATGTTAATTACTTTTCTAAAAATGGAATATATAAAACAAAAGAGAGAAATTTGTTTGAAGTAGGAGAAAATAACCCAAGCCCCTCTCTTCTCTGTTCAACCCCCATTCTACTCTCTCCCTTTTTTTGGGGGGGGGGGTGTCCTGGCTTTTGGTGCAATTTGCAAGACAGTTCCTTGTCCATGTTCCATGTCAAACTCCACAGTTTTCTTTCTTTCTTTCAGCCTCTGTTGCCCTGGGTAGAATGCTGTGGTGTCACAGTTCACAGCAACTTCAAACTCCCCCTGGGCTCATGCAATCCTCTTGCCTCAAGCCTTTGGAATAGCTGAGACTACAGGCCCTGGGCCATGATACCTGGCTAGTTTTTCTATGGTTAGTGGAGACAGGGGTCTCGCTCTTGCTCAGGCAGGTCTTGAACTCCTGAGCTCAAGCAATCCACCTGAGTAGGCCTCCCAGAGTGCTATGATTACAAGCATCCACAGTTTTCTTCATAATAATTCAGTGAGATTTCTTCGGTTCTAATTCAGTGAGATGGCTGGGAATATAATCACAAGAAACTCTGAAAGACAGTGGTGACAATGACAGCTAATATTTATTATTATGCACTAGGTATTGCTCTGCATACTTTATATGAATTGACTCACTCCAGCCCTCCAAGCCCTAGGAGTAGACACCATCCTAGTCATGGGTTAGGAAACCGTAGCACAGAGCTAACAACCTGCCTAAGACCACAGATCTGGTGAGGTTAAAAATGGGATTCCATGGATATATTGGGACACAATGAGAGAATGGACAATCTGATAAGGAAAGTTAACAAGAATAAAAGAATGCTCATTTAGCCTAAAGAAAGAAGTTGAGTTAGCAGATGTTCTGCTGAGAAGGTGGAGGGCTTCAAGGTTACCAGGAATTTCTAAACTTTGAAAGAAGTTTTCCTGTAGCTGCTCTCATTGGATGATGGCAGTCCTCCTCTCTGGCTGGACAACGTCTGTAGAGTGGACAAGGCTACATCCCCAGAGGTGTGCAGAGGAGAAGGTAGCCCTTGTCCTCAGCAGCTTTCCACAAGCATCCCTCCCAAGCCCTGCCCTCTTTGTCCTGCCAGCCCCCTCAGCCATTCTTGTAGGGCTCAACAGGATGTAGCTAACAACTTTCACATTTCCAGAGTAAATTCTGCTTCTGTGCTCCAGACTCATATGCCCAGCTATCTCCTTGGCACAGGGTAATTTGTGGTGCAAGATGGTTTGGCAACTCCTCAAAGTGACTGCACTTAGTCTTTCCCCAGTCTGCTCCTCCCCACTCACTAAAGGTTGTTCAAGTCAGATTCTTTCCTAAGAAAGTCCCCGACCACTTCTGTAGCCTAGGTCTACATCTAACTCAACTCTGAATTTTTCATTTTTATCCCGTTGAAGGTGACAACCTTCAGGTCTGTTTCAGACTGGTCAGTTCTCTTTTTTGTGTATCCAGCAAAAAGGCAATTATTTTGGGATTATTATCAAAGGAGATTTTGATCCTATGACAATTCTGATTGTACCTGAGAACCTTCTGGACCAAAAACAGGCAAGAAAAAAGGATATTCAGTTTGTAATCACTGAATAGTGATTAGTAGGAAGAGTTGCAAATTTGCAATAACATTATGATCTTACAACACCAGAGCCAAGCAGACAAATTTTTCTTAGTAAAAAGAAAGAAAGTTTTGGGCAGCTCCTGTGGCTCAAAGCAGTGAGGCACCGGCCCTACATGCTGGACGTGGCAGGTTCAAACCCAGCCCTGGCCAAAAACTGCAAAAAAAAAAAAAAAAAAAGAAAAAAAAAGAAAATTTTAATATAGTCAAACCGGTTAATTATTATTATTAACTCAGCTGCCCAGGCTGGAACACAGAGGCATGGTCATAGCTCACTGTAACTTGGAATTCATTGGCTCAAGCCATATTCTGCCTCAGTTTTTTGAGCAGCTGGGACTACAGGCATGTGCCACCACACCTAGCTAATTTATTAAATTTTTTGTAGAAAAGGGGTCTTGCTGTCTTGTTCAGGCTGGTTTTGAACTCCCACCTTGGCCTCCCAAAGTGCTGGGATTATAGGCATAAACCACCATGCCTGGCCCAGTTTATTATTTTTATTATGAAATGGGAAAGACAAATATGCTACCGTTTGGCACATCCTGCCTACTCAAGTGGTTACACTTGAGATAATTCAGCATGACCTATGGTTTGATTTTATTGGAAAAGAATCATTTGCCTAAAGAAAAAAAAAAAGAATGAAAGATACAAAAACTTTATTATGTATGTTAAAATATGCCTAGATTCTTATAGCTATGTTTCTAGTGGTTTTGAAATGAAATTCTCTATCATTGCTCTTCCTCACTTATCACAATTTTTATTTATGCAAAAATTTGTGCTTATTTGCTCAGTAGCAGTCTTTCCCATTACACCTGGCATGGTGACATTTCAGTTTACTACCTATACCTGTACTATTCAACCTCTGGAACATGACAGATGCTCAGTAATTTCTGTTGACTGTGTGACTGTATGAACACAGCTGAAGGTAAGGGCACTGGAGACATACTCACTTGGTAACCATTTTAAGGAATTTGTCACATCTCTGTATTATAGATAATATATTACATATATATTATACATATGTATATAATTTTTCCTTTATATCACCTTTTTATTTAGGAACAATGCTGTATTCAAAACTTTGAGACTCCTTAAACCTCTGGATATTGCAAAGTCACCCTCCATTATGCTAACATGATGTTTACAAATGAAAACAAGAAAGAGAAGAAAATAGAAAAGTCGTACATAAACAGAATTCTGCAGTTTGTTTTTGAGACAGAGTTTTACTTTGTCACCCTGGGTAGAGTGCCGTAGCATCATAGCTCACAGCAACCTCAAACTCCTGGGCTCAAGCAATTCACTTGCGTCAGCCTCCTGAGTAGCTGGGACTACAGTGGCCCGCCACAATGCCTGGCTATTTTTTAGAGACGGGGGTCTTGTTCTTGCTCAGGCTGGTCTTGAACTTGTGAGCTCAAGTAATTCATCTGCCTCAGCCTCCCAAAATGCTAGGATTACACACATGAGCCCCTGAGCCCAGCCTTCTCTGTGCGCAGTTTAAATGCACAGGTTATTATTCCTCTTGGTGATGCTGATGAGCTAATATGGTTGTAGGAAAGCCGTGTTCCATGTGTTCTGAGGCTATAATTTGGCATCTACTATTGTACCAATATGAAGAGTTCTCCTCTACCCTGAAAAACTTATTAATTTGATGACAAGCTGAAAATGAAATCTGAACACTCATGTCCCTCTAAAGACAGTACAGGATTTCTTCTGGCACTGAGTGCTCAATGGCCATCTTGCTCTGGGAGTTCACAGGAGGTGGGCTTCAGAATCATTAGGAAAACAAAAACCCAATGGTAGTAATTTTCTTCCCCTCCTCCCTTCCTTTTTTTTTTTTTTTTTTAAAACAGTCTTATACTGTTACTCAGCCTGGAATACAGTGGTGTCATCATAGCTCACAGCAACCTCAAACTCC